GCCTGTGTATATTTACCTGAGGGCTAGTAATGCTTTGGTGGCCTCCACGAGGACAGAAGGTCGATGGCTTGTAAAGGTACTTCTCCACCCCCATTTGGCCTGATGATTTTTTCAAGCTGGATTTTAAAATTCAGTAGTGTTTTGACGTTTATATTGTTGTTATTTGTTGATGTAAAACCTTGTTGCAATGGACGTTTTCATAAGGACCTGTCTGAAATGCTATGCGTGCTAGTGGCTTTGCAAGAATGTACGAACACGAATCTAATGAAATCTCACCAACCCATTGCACCTTCTTGTGAATAATAATAATAATAATAATAATAATAATAATAATAATAATAATAATAATAATAATAATAATAATTATTATTATAGAAGGTATCCATACAAAAGAGATTCTAAACCCTTTACTCTGTGCAGCAATCAGATCATTTATAATGGCTAGTATGAGGTTCTTGCTGTTGATTCTACAGAAGTTTTCAACTCTTGAAAAGCAGACACTGAAATACAAAATATTATTCCTCCTGTGCTTTTAATATACCATTTCCACTACTGCCCACAAGATGGGTATGGCATGAATAATAAATGAACAATATCAAACTCTGGTCCCAGACAGCACTCGGTACCCCTTACTTAAATCTTTAAATATGTTAGATATTAAGTCACTGCACATCCTCTCATGTGTACTCTATATATTTAAAACTCTGAACAGTACTGCCAATCCTGACCTTAAACGCTTCCTAGAAGGTTGTAACATGGGCATAACGCCAGAAACAAATACCTATTTGATATTCCAAGAGTGCGCCTTAACAAAACTAAAAATGCTCTACAAATCAAGGGACCCAGCATGTGGAATGACCTTCCCAATCATGTCAAAGGTCTGTACCTCTCTTAACCAGTTTAAGAGAAAAACTAAGTACCACCTAATAAACTCCATGTAACCTATCTTACCCCCAAATTGTCAACCCATGTCTTGCTATTTCCAAACAATACTGTTTGTTGACCAATTTGTATAATTGCTGATTTCTGCCACGTTCCCTTCCCCCTTTTTCCCTTTTCTGCACAATTTATACTTTAATCTCAATTAGTATTAAGCTTTAGTCTTAAGTTTTTTTTCCACGCCTTGCCTGTAACACTGTGCGTATTAGTGGCTTTAGGTATTGTATGTACTAGCTCTATCTATAAATCCAACATTATGTTTGTAACTCATCTCTCATCTTCTGTGTATGTATTTTTACATGAATAAACATTTTGATTTTGATTTGATTTTGAACCTAGCGAATGCTAAACTCTACGGACTTTGAGTGGCAAATTTCATATCCACCAACTTTATGAAGGAAGGTATAGTGGCCAAGCTATACTCTCCATGATAGGGCCAACCTCGACCCACATATTATTATTATTATTATTATTATTATTATTATTATTTATCTGTTATTATTAGTAATAATATTATTATTATTAATATTCATGGGTTAATTGGGAACCCTGGGTTCCATGGGTTAATAACCCTGTGGGTGAAAATCATATTCTGCTTTCAGTTCTATATTGTGACGTTGAGCTTGAACAGACCATTGATAAGAGGCAGACATTAAGTACAACATGCTTTGTGCATATCAGTTCGGTCATGGATGCTACTTTTAATGTTGGTTGTGAGCCTGTAACGTACCTACCGTGGCTTTGTGCCCTGGAGAGGCCACTCCAGACCAACAACCAGAGTGCAACTCCATAGTCTCCTGAGACTGATGGATACTAACTACTATTATTATTAAGTTATTTATACATACAAAATGAGATACAAGAATATGAGATTTCTGGGTATGGGATTTGAATTACTATACTATGCCTAAAGCCACTGATATGCAGAGAGTTTCAGGCATGATGGCCAAATATCCCGGATTTGCTAACTGTAGGCAGTAATTGAGTGATTGTAACCTATCCACCGCTACCCACTGGATGGAGGGCGGTTGGATAAATATATCAATTATGACACTACTTCTCCACATATGTCAGTTGCTTAAATTAGAAACTGTTCTTGTGGTTGGTCTCGAGCCCAATGTTGATGTGACGATGTGCATTGAATTTTGTAACTAGCTCATCAAGATTGTAACTTGCTTAGCTAAATGAATTGTGAGGTTCAGTCCCTGAGCCCATTATGTGCCTCTGTAACCCTTTCCACTACCGCCCACAGGATAGGTATGAGGTGCATAATGAATGAACTAAACTAAACTCAGGCATGATGTGGAAAACTTAAACATTAACGCTACAAAACTAATTGAGATCAAACGTAAGAATCAGCTGAAGTATAAAAATAAAAAAAAACAATCATTAGGATCCCGGTAGTACAGTCATGGTTTGTTCTCGACTCATTATCGTGAATTCCAGGTTCGAATCCCGGACAGGACAGAATAATGCTTGGGCGCATTTCCTATCACCTAATGGCCGTGTTCACCTCGCAGCAAGTAGGTACCCAGGAGTTAGTCGGCTTGTTCCATCCTAGGAAGGGGAGGGGGATCAGTAATTCCCCCTCGGGGAGAGGGGAATCTCAATATAAGCCTACCGTGCATAAACACACACTGGCTACCTGTCCCCGAACAACGAATTATTATTATAATTACATGGTAAATGTTACAGCAGAAATTGCAACAGAACAACAGATGGTAATTTTCACTAAATTCTATATATTGTATTCTATTGTATTCAATTCTCTGTATTGTATTCAATGTATTTACATAGAATGCAATACATAGGAATTGAGGAATCCAATCATATTCTGTTTTCAGTTCTATATTGCGACGTTGAGCTTGAACAGAGCATGGATACGAGGCAGACATTAAGTACAGCATGCTTTGTGCATATCAGTTCGGTCATGGATGCTACTTTTAATGTGCTTGAACAGACTACGGATACGCATTAGACATTAAGCACAGTAGACTTTGTGTTTATCAGTTCGGTTATGGATGCTTCTTTTAATGATGGCTGTGAGCTTGAGGGCCCCGCCAAAAATGTTCGCAGTTGGGCTCAGAAGCTTTGAAGGTCGGCCCTGCCACCCAGGGTGAGGACTGGATAACGCAAAGACTACAATAGGGTGTCCTTATTTTTGGGAGATTGTGATGAACACGACAGAAGAAGAAAGTTCAGATATTGTGGACGACTAAAAATGGACATTCCCCCAATTACTCTTAACAGTTCCAGCAGTTAAGAGATAAGTTTTAAGAATGAGACTGTATCAGTGACAGATGCAGCCTAATTTCTGCTTCAAAGGCCTGGCTAAACCTAACACCACTAAGTCCTATGAAATAGACAATTAAATTATTAGGGCAAAAAAAAAAGGATATGACAAAAATGAGTGGGGCGGGTGAAATTAATCAAATGCCGCTCAGAGTGCAGGGTCAAATAGAATTTCGCATTTGTTCTAGTCTATCAATACTTTTGCCATGACGTAGGAGTAAGGCTGGAGCATGATAGGCTACCAGATCAAGTATATATGCTAAGCACACATTTTTTATTTTAATATTTACACCGTATTGAGGGCTGTATCCCACTACCGTTCGAAGAGCCCTAACTTAACATTGTTAATGTAATTTTTTGACAGTAGTTCAGGTACAATTAAGGGACTGAAACACCAAGGTATTTGAAAAGTGAAGACATTGTCTATTGGTCTGTTATCAGTCTTTAGTATTTGTGGTCCACTTTGCGATTACCAATTTGTCTGTTAAATACCTTACTTTTTATGCGTTGATCACAAGACCAAGGCTCTCTTAAGACCAAGCACAAGACCAAGGCTCTCTTAAGACCAAGCACAAGATCAAGGCTCTCTTGATCACAAGACCAAGGCTCTCTTAAGACCAAGGCTCTCTTAAGACCAAGCACAAGATCAAGGCTCTCTTAAGACCAAGCACAAGATCAAGGCTCTCTTGATCACAAGACCAAGGCTCTCTTAAGACCAAGGCTCTCTTAAGACCAAGCACAAGATCAAGGCTCTCTTAAGACCAAGCACAAGATCAAGGCTCTCTTGATCACAAGACCAAGGCTCTCTTAAGACCAAGCACAAGATCAAGGCTCTCTTAAGACCAACCACAAGATCAAGGCTCTCTTGATCACAAGACCAAGGCTCTCTTAAGACCAAGGCTTGTGAGAGCTTATAGGGCTCTCACAAGCTGCATGTGTGTACTTTAAGATAAAAGCGGTTGTGCTCTCTCCAACTTTTGTTTACAGTTCCTCGCTATCCTTTCATTTGTAGGTGTAACATTTAAATATGGTAATTATATAACAACAGGTTTTGACATTTATATCCTCAGAGACATGATTACACTTTATCCAGCAGTTAAATGTGAGGCTCTCTGATCAGTGAAACTGTAGTCCGTGCATGTTGCTTAGAATTTGTTTTCTGCGCTGTTCAGTTAATCACTTCACGTTGTCTATGCATTGGAAAAAGCATAAATACTTAAAGGATATGTCGGAAAGCATCACAACTCAATATACATCGTAAATATATAAGATATTCTATATTCCATATTCTGCCATGTTCCCCCCTTTTTTATTTTTTTTTATTTTCTCAACACAATTTATACTTTAATCTCAATTAGTATTAAGTTTTAGTCTTTAGTGTTTTTCCCGCCCGAAACGCTTTGCGTTATAGTGGCTTTAGGCATTGTATGTACTAGCTCTATAAATCCATCAATGTTTGTATCACTCCTTGTGTGTATGTACTTTACCTGAATAAACATTTGAATTTGAATTTGAATTTTTTTGAAGACTGCAAGGCGTCCGGGGGCCACTCAACGAGCATATTCTGGCTTGCCAATTAATTTATAAATCTAATAAGAGAATATAATAAAAAAATAAATTTGTATGTTTTATAAAATTAAACTTAAATCGTCCTGTGCTGTAAAAATGTGTAGTATTATAGTGATTATTATTACTAATAGTCGAGAGAGGAGTACTACGCCGCGGTGGCCAGGTGAGTGTTCACGTGTTTGCAGCGGTTGAGACAGTTAAGGTGGGGGAGCCTGCCAGTTGCCATCAAGACTTGGGGGAAGGTGGTCGCTCCTCTCCCGCTGGAGTTTGTGAGAGAATTGAGTTTAGAACTTTAAACTGAAATTATACACCTGGAACATGAATGCTAAATTATGATCTAACGTAGCGTAAATTTTGTGGTGGTTCATAGTGATTGGGTAGGTTCAGTTTTTACAGTGGGAGAGTGAGTTTAATGCCAACAATGACGACCATTGGAAGGCTGTGGAGACAATATATTCCAGCCAGGTAAGTGTATATGTCATCTTGGGTAGAATAAGTGGTAAGCAAATGTACAAAAGAAGCTATATATAAACATATATAAAAATGTGTGTAAAATATAGACTACAACCTCATTCAATCCTGACAAATGTGTTGTATAGTTACTTTAAACTCACAAGACCCGTTTTATCCAATCCTAAAACGTGCCAAATTTCAGATTAAAGTTTCGCATTACTAGCAAATTATTGTTCCCGGAAAATTACATAGAAGAGGCAGAAAAGACTCCTTACTAAGAGTGCAAGCCACACATTACCAGCAGCAGACAGGTATTATAGGAGCAATAGACAGATGGAAACTATAAAGTTGTATCTAAAACATTAAACAAACTCTTTAATGCCATTCCCGGGAGACTTCAAGGGATCCCATATGCAACCCCACGACGTGATTAATTTTAATTTAATTTAATTTTGCCCCGAGGGGCGAGTTTATTGGGCAGCGCCACTCATCTTGTGAGTGGACATACCACCATAGCAGCATGTACAACACTTCCCAATTGGAAGAAAACCCGCTGGGTTGTTCATCCTGTCACTTGTACCTAGACACAGCTGGGACTTGCTTAACTGTCTCAAGTGAACAGCTCCTCAAACAAGAAGATTAACATCTGTCAACCCTTAAAAGCTTACGTTATCTTGCGGGTGCAAAATGGCCACGACGTGATTTCACGCAACCTCTTGGGAAGACAAACGACGAGGCTTTGTCCGTATGGATAATTGTAGCGATGAGAATGACAACAGTCATATATCACCCAGGTTCGAGCTCTGAATACCATCTCGGTCATTTTCAACACACTATGATCTCCGATATGGCTCATTACTCACATTTGACAACGTGGTTATACTGTAATTATCAGAAAGCGTCCCCTTACAATTATCAGAATACGTCCCCATACAGATGCGAAGCTATATTGTTTATTGAAACTATGTTGTGATACAAATACTATATTGATTTACCATGCAAAACCGCCCGTCGATCTAAAGTTGCTGAAAGGGGGGGGGGGTGATTTTTATAATCTCGGGACGCTAGTGATTAGCTATCTGCCTTAAAGTGCTCGAACGCTTTTGTAACACTACCCACACGCTACACGCCACACCTGTACGCTACCTACTTGTGTAAAGGAGGAAAATGTATATGTTTATCTCTCAGAATGTTCGGTAATATGTTTATTGTTTGTGATGTGTGTATATGTATGTATTAACACGTTGTACTGAACGGGGTGAGAATAGCTTGAGCTACCTCATCCCTTTGTGTGTATTTTACCTCAATAAACTTATTTCAATTCATATACGCTACCCTAACACCTGCTCTCTACTGGCGTCTAAGGTGACACCCGCACGCTACCCTAATACCCCTCTACCCATACCTGCCCTAATAACCCCCGCACGCTACCGTAACTCACGCTACTGTTACACCATGTTAAGGTAAGACTGTTATTGAAGAGCGAGACTGGGGGGAGGAAGAGAAAGACTGAAAATAAGAGAGGGGGGAGGGAGAACAAGACTGTAGAGTAGAGAGAGGGGAGGAGAAGCGATACTGAAGGAAGGAGAGGGGAGAGGAGCTAACTAAGGTGAGGAGAAGTGAGTGACAGTAATGACAGATTACTGATACAGGTTGGAGACAGCGGTCATTGGCCAGACGCCTAGTCTCGTTGGGCAGTTGACGCAGCATTCTTCTAAACGACGGCGATTATTTAAATGAAATATTTGAAATAAACAAGACACACTCGCTGCCATGTTCAAATGTTCGGACACACTCTCTGTCATGTCCACATGTCCGGACACACTCCCTGGCGTGTTAAAATGTTCGGACACACTCTCTGCCGTGTTCAAATGTTCGGACACACTCCCTGCCGTGTTCAAATGTTCGGACACACTCTCTGTCATGTACACATATCCGGACACACTCCCTGGCGTGTTAAAATGTTCGGACACACTCCCTGCCGTGTTCAAATGTTCGAACACACTCCCTGCCATGTTCAAATGTTCGGACACACTCCCTGCCGTGTTCATATGTTCGAACACGCTCCCTGTCATGTTCAAATGTTTGAACACACTCCGTCATGTTCAAATGTTCGGACACGCTCCCTGTCGAGTTCAAATGTTCGAACACGCTCCGTCATGTTCAAATGTTCGAACATACTCCCTGCCATGTTCAAATGTTTGGACGCTTACCCACCACTTCCAGGATGGACTGTAGTGTAGGTTTACTACGGGCTCACCATAGCCCGTGCTACTTGGAACTTTGTGTTCCAGGTAGTGAAGCTTAAACAATAAAACAACATGTATAGTGTAGGGACTTACGCTTCTCTTAGTGTTGGTGTTCACTTGTACAGTGTTGGTGTTCAGATTGTACAGTCATATGTCTCAAACCTGTGGGAGTAGTTGCAGGTAGGGGAGCCGGTCGGCCGAGCGGACAGCACGCTGGACTTGTGATCCTGTGGTCCCGGGTTCGATCCCGGGCGCCGGAGAGAAACAATGGGCAGAGTTTCTTTCACCCTATGCTCCTGTTACCTAGCAGTAAAATAGGTACCTGGGTGTTAGTCAGCTGTCACGGACTGCTTCCTGGGGGGTGGAGGCCTGGTCGAGGACCGGGCCGCGGGGACACTAAAGCCCCGAAATCATCTCAAGATAACCTCAAGATAGTGGAGAGTGGTCTGGGTGAAGGTGGAAGCTACATTGTGTCTGGTGCTGAGAAAGTTGTGTGAATGGAACATATCTTTGAATTCCTGTTGCGTGCAGGTTACTTTCTTTTGTCCAGAGCGATCCATACTTAGCTGGATATTATTGGGAGAGTTCTGCCCCTCCCGCAGGATCTCCACCTCCCCCACTACTCTCATGTGTGTAATATATACAATTACAGCTCACATTTCCTCCTGCTGTTACCTCTCGAGATGTGAATTGTTAAAAGTGGCATATACGAGTTTCTATGTGGATGACGCGCGAGTCGCAGTCTTGAATATCACAGTGACTTCATGTGTGTGTTGACTGCGGTAGTGAAGGCAGACGTCCTCCGTGGTGTCACTGACCGCTACACCCTCCCTTCTCTCTCTCTACTCCCATCATTCTCCAATCCTCATCCACCCTCTTCATCTCCTTATTCCCCTCCCTCCCATCTTCCCTTTCCCACTCTCTCGCTTCGCTTCCTTCATCCCTTCTCTTCCTCCCTAATCCCAACTCTTACCCATCCTCCCCAAAGCCAGCCACTCGAACCCTCAGCACTCCTATCCCAAACCCCACCCACATATCCCACATTACCGCTTTACGTTTCCCGTTCTCTTTGTTTACATCTTGATATAGTTTGGATACCTGATACCGGATCTGTGGTTGTGAGTACTCACCTGATATCGGTGTCCTCATCTGATACCATCTGATAACGTGAAGACCAACCGTCAGACCACAAGCCCCCTGCCACGAAAGAACTTAATTAATAACGACAAGCTCCACTCATATATACTTGATGCCAACCCATGGTGGACAAGCCACCTAACTTTCAAGCCTCCTCCTTCACCATCCAAACCCTCTTCAATAATTTCATCACATCTATCTTCCTCTCCCCAACCTTTCCAAACTCTTTGGACATCGGACTTCAGACATCTGATACCCAATACGATATCTGCGGCTGCGAGTCCTCACTTGATATCGGTGAGTCCTCATCTGATAGCCAATACCAGATCAGTAGTCGTTGTGGCCCTAATAACCCTCCAGTGGTTGATAGCCCAACATTAAACCGAAACTTATTGTCAATACTATTCCTATCTAGCAGTAATGCATTAATTACTACACCATTTAATTTATAGGTGTCCTTGTGAGTACATATACAATGATATATTATTAAAACCCTTCGAAGGCCAGATACAAGGAGGGCAGCGGCGTCCTGACTCTAAGAGGTCAATACTCTAAGATTAACAGTACCCTTTGCGTATATCACTAGAAGACCTCATCACTTGAAATAGTATTACCGCATGACACTACGTATCACTGTAGAACATAACAGTATACCTAACAATTTATGATAAGGATAAACACCATTCTTTGTATTGGCAAACGTCTAGTAATTTGTCTTGCTAACCGCTTTAATTCTCAGCATCTAAAATACACTAGCGTATAGGGGGGAGTCACACGTGTAGAGATAATTACTTCCGTCTTGAGCAAGAACATTCATCTATATTCCAAGTTTAAAATGTTCTCTGTAGGAAACTATTAATATGACCTAGCATCATTGCTTCTTCGATATTTGATAATATAGGTGGGGCATGAGCGGAATATCTTGAGGTTATCTTGAGATGATTTCGGGGCTTTATTTTTTTTTTAGTGTCCCCGCGGCCCGGTCCTCGACCAGGCCTCCACCCCCAGGAAGCAGCCCGTGACAGCTGACTAACTCCCAGGTACCTATTTACTGCTAGGTAACAGGGGCATTCAGGGTGAAAGAAACTTTGCCCATTGGTTTCTGCCTCATGCGGGAATCGAACCCGCGTCACAGAATTACGAATCCTGAGCGCTATCCACCAGGCTACGAGGCCCCCATGCTCATTTGCTCGTTTTCACTTAGGGAGTTCTCTCCATTCGTTTAGCTTTCAGTAGTAGTTTTAACCAGAATAGGGGTTTGTTTTGGGGTGCTTACATTTCTGGGTACCTGACCCAGTCGATGGCATAGAATGCTCCAAATCACATGTGTAATTCTATAGGCCATTGCTTCTCGTGTCTCTCCGAGGGGACCAGGTCCCGGCTCACGGTCCCCGGTAGGCCTAAAAACTCCATTCACACTAACTGTAATATTAGCATATCAGCCTGGATAGCTCCGGAGAGCTGAAGGGAGTTCTCCCCAGAAAAACTATTTACAGTAAGATATATAGTACAGTAAAAAATATCATTAAATATTTAAAAAAGAATATGGAGGTTCTTCTACCTTATTTGTGATTATTTGAAGCATTTGTGATCCTGCTTCTTATAAATTGAAGAATAATGCTGCGT